AAAATTGTGTTTTGCTACTTTGACGTGAATTGTGAATTGATGCATATTTTCTGAATATGTACGTCCATTTAACAGCCACTTTGACCTTCCTGTTAGTCTGTGGTTACAGAATATCCCAAACAAACATATTTTTCATCTGTTTCACCAAGGCTGCGGAGGGAACAGTTTCGGACAGACCTGCAGCTTTCGCTGCCACGCCATGGGTTCTGTGGACGGGTGCCGAGGCCGGCAGCTCTGCGTGCCCGACCCCGTGGGCTGCGTCTGTCCGCCGGGATTCAAGGGCCCACTCTGCTTGCAAAGTAAGTCAACTACTAATTCTTCAACCCAGACAATCTGTATCTGTGTAGCCGGTATAATAGCCCTTCCGCGCAACGCAACAGTTTCGCAGGCACGCGGCGCAGCGACATTACGTGTCATAGCCGTAAATAGGTTTCTGTGCAAACACCCAGGCACAATTGACCGACTGCTGGCGTCACGTTTCCTGGATGCCAGAGGTCATAATTCAGTCAGTATATGCTTGAAGGCCGAAAAACTAACTTATCTCAGGGGAGTCTTTGTATTGGATGGAAAATTTAGAATTAAATGATGCTATTCTGGATGACTTGCAGTACATTTTTCAGGGCAGGATTGAATCTGCTTTTCACAGGCGCTAGCTTGCCCACATGAAATCCTGAAGTCTGAACAACTTGTGTTGTATATGTAAGTTACGGATGTGAACGGTCTCTTATTTCCATCAGATTCACCCTGGGAAGTACTGTCACAGCAAATTTGAACCCTCGCACTTCCCTCACTACTGCCAACTTATATCCTGTTATTGTAAGATGTTCATGACGCTGCATATATATCTGGTGGCCCGCCAACGTTTATTTCCATGCTATTACTTTCCTTCCCATCCCGTTACGCTGTATCTATTAAAAGTTATATAAGAACGGTAATGGCTTTCCATGCCCCGGGTTGGATTACTCTTCATTAAAAGAGCTTTGAGCCGCTTGAACAACTTTCGATTCGCAACGCATGACTCAAAAGTTTTCTCTAATCCTGTTCGGAGACTCTTCGTTTTCGATCAGGTAAAAGTTTCATCAATTTGCGGTTGCTGTTTTCGTTCTTAAGTATGAGGTTTCCCCCGCACCCGCAAGAGTAGTCTCCACCAGACTCCTTTGCAGGCTAACAAGTAGCCAAAATCAGCCCAAAAAGTGGAATATAATTGGCCAGGGGAGTTAGCAAGCAATATCAGGCCAATATGGCCCGTACTACTATGGCCGAAAAACTCCTCTAGCCAATTATATACTACTTTTTACCACGATTTTCTCTTATTTATTCAGCCTACAAAGGAGTCTGCAGGTGGAGACTACGGCAAGAGTAGCCTCCACACCATGCCAAAAAATTGGGTTTTTGGGGGGTCTTCGGGAGCTCTTATGTGCTATTTTCTGATTGCATGTAGACAACATAGCCGGCCTGGTTGAATTACCCCCGTTTTTAGAACTGGGCTAATCAGAGAACAGCCGAAGACCACCAAACCCCCAGTTCTATAAGCCTGCTACGAACTGGGCTAATCAGAAAACAGCCGAAGACCACCAAACCCCCAGTTCTATAAGCCTGCTACGGAGGCTACGGCAAGAGTTAGAACGTTGCGAAAACACGATTATGTTTCCCCTCGGCGGGTAATTTTGTCTCTCAGACTTGGCGGCGCGCTGCCGCCGTCTTGGGGTAAGCGATCCGTGGCGGAGATCAAACTTTGCGGGCCAGACGGCGGCTCGGCCTGTCACGGTCAATGACGCGCCAACCGCAGAGCATCCTAATCTCCAAGCAGAGGTTTGAAGAACTTTTAATCAAAGCACTGCATTGTTGGAAGGAAAAACTGTAACAGTAGTGGGTCGTGGGGTAGCGGCAGAGTGCTCGACTCGGAACCAAGAGGTCCCGGGTTCGATTCCTGACATGCCACCGATCTGGTGCAATTGGGAAAGGCACTTCACACGACTTTCCTCACTTCACACAGTACAGGTGAAAATGAGTATTGTACTGTCCCTGTGTTGGTGGCGGCATTAATATAAGTTGAAAAAAACTTGAATTTGCCGTCTCCACATCTTGTAATTACATGTTTGAATATGAAAAAATGTTGGTACCAAAATACGAGCATTTTGGGGTTGATTGAGAACCTGAAATGAAGGGGTGAACTATGATAACCAAATTGGTGTGGCCTAAGGCCGAGGAAAAAATGTTGTGTTTCCGGTTTTCCAAACGAACATAGCAAAACTCTGCCAACCAAAGCCTTCTTTTTTGATTGAAAGCTGATAAGACTATAAAATTTTCGACTGACTGACATCTGAATTGTAAACTCTTTGAATTCTGAAAACAATTCAATCAAAAAGAAAAAAATACCAACCTACCGACACTAATTTCATTCAGGAATAAAACCGGAAACACATTGTTAATTTTTCTTGGCGTGAATATAACTCTCGCTGCCGCGGGCCGTCTCCCGATCTTTTTATCTTCCTCATTCAATATCACGCCTGGCTGGTTCGCAGTCTTGCCGCCGCCATCTTGATCGCCGTAAACCCCACTAAAGCTCCCGACTGCACCGGCTGCGGTGAAGGTCAATTGGGGAAGTCAGATTATCGCCCAGAGGACAGCAGCTTCTCCAAAGCTGGCCGCTAAGGCTGACTTGTCCCCTGTCGACCGAGTGGGCGGTATTATACCACCAGTTTAGCCGTTTTGCCAGGGGAGTTGCAGAGGGTTTTTATATAACGTCGTGCAGAAAAAGGCTGAGAAGGAAAATATGGAGCAAAATGAAAAGATGAAATATGATTTTAGCAGTAGCAATAGTAGCATGTGTCTAACTGCGCCTGACTTGTCCCCTGTCGACCGAGTGGGCGGTATTATACCACCGGTTTAGCCGCTTTTGCCATGGGAGTTGCAGAAGGTTTTTTTCTTCATAACGTCGTGCAAAAAGACGACCGAATAGAAAAGACGGAATAGAATGAAAGATGGAATAAAATTTTACACCGAAGAGCGCTTGTCCTTAATAGTAGTATGTGTCTAGATGCGGCTTACTTGTCCCTTGTCGACCGAATGGGCGGTATAATACTCTCCAAGCAGAGGTTGTGGGGGAATGATCGTTAGCTTTTTATATATGGCCGTTTTTTTTGTCGCTGCCCCCACCAACGGTGGCCGGCGACCTCCTCTGGCTAATGGATACTGCCTTGCCACCTAAAGGGATCTGCTTGGAGATTACGGTATAATACTCCCACCAGTTTAGCCACGGGAGATGGAAAGATTTTTTATAACGTCTTGCAGAAAAAGGCTGGGAGGAAAATATTGTCCTAAAATATAATTTTTCACAGAATATCACTTGTATGCAATACTATTATGTGTCTAGCCGCACAAATTGTCAGTTTTTAGAATTGCAAATGACGTTTTGCAACGCTGTTAGAAAGGACGACCTTGAAGGAAAAGATTTTTGCAACAAGCAATATACACAGGTCACCCAGGCAGCACGGCTGATGTCGGGTGCCATTTGACATGCAGTTGAACATTCGCATATAAAATAACGCCATACATCAACTTGTCCACAATAATGAATACGTTGTGTCTATTTGGATGGCATGTCAGCCGAAAAGAAAATATACATGCCCAATTTGAGATGTTATTGTTGAGTTAAGCGGCGGAAACTGGATCCCAAGTTCGCGTAATCTGCGCGGTTTTATGCCGAGTTTACTGCAAATAGACCCCCACAGCGTCACGTCTGCCTCACCGCAGCGAAACCGAAAAACGCAAACCCACATTAACAAGAAACATTAAACCATCAGACGGCGGGGTTTTGCGGATTATGTTGGGTTTTGCGCGACGACGGCGAGTCTAGTGGTTATCCAACACGGAGGAGTAAAACTTGACCTGCGAGACGTACCTCAGAACGGGCGGATTTTTACTGACAGGCGGAGATTTGCGCTTATAGAATAAATGGATTTCGATAAAGCCCTGTTGACTGATGATGTAGGAGGAACAGCAAGTTCTGTCGTCACAATAGACTGTGCGGGCGTGGCGAAGGGCGGGGTAGCCTGGTTCTCAGACTGCTTGGGGCGTTTAATTAAGGGGGGGGGGTAGCTGATACGGAATTTTTTTACAAGGGCTAAGGTTCTCTATGTTTTATGTTTATTAGGAACTCCATTAGTAAAAAAAGTCTTCCTGAAGTCCCATACATTACATCATGACAAATACGACATAAGAATTCTACCGTCATTAATTAATAACTACAATATATACAACACTACAAATACGACAACTACACAATAATTACAATGTATTCTCTAATACGACAGAGGGAGTTATACCGCGGAGGAACTTAGTGCCTATCGATACAGCACCACCCCCCACCCCCAACAAGCCCCCCCCCCCGAAAAGAAACCGCCGCTCTATTCACTAGTAGAAACAAAGAATGACCTGCTAGAATACTCGGGTTGGCGTAAAGAAAGATACATTTTGTACCAGTGCAAAAAAGAAGGCCCTATAAAAAGTGTAAAAACACGCCAAAAGTTAGCTAAAACCCAAACCTCTGCTTGGAGAGAATGGAAAAAAATATAAAAACGTCGCTCTATCCGCTCCTAGAAACATACAATGCCCCCTAGAAGTCTGCACATGAGGCTACGGGGAAGGGAAGGATGACAAGGTAACGCTAGGATGCAAAACATCTATGACTGCGCATCCTGCTGGGGTGAAGTCTGCATGCGCCAAATCTAGACGAATGTTCTTTTCTTGGCGTTAAAATTGACGTCTTAGACGGAGCTTAGGCGAGAAGGAGAAATTTGTCATGTTTGATTTCCGATGATGCAAATCATTCTCCGACTCTTCAGTGGAAATCGGAGAGGGAGAAATAAGCATGATGCGCGTATTATTGATGTTTGGTCGGGAACTATATATGAGAATGCCATAAAACAGTATGCAAGTAATATAAGTTATTAACTTGAGTGCAGTGCCACACTGTCCTTGTTATGTTTTTATGTTTTGATGAATAATAAAAAAAAGCAGTATGCACTTCGGTTTTAAGCGTTCTTCACTACTGTTGTGCTATTTAAAACATTAAGCGGGAAAAAAATCGTTCTTGAGTCAATGGACAGGATTTGTGCCTTAGGCTTCGGCAATGAACATAACGTGTGCTACAGCACTACAAGGCATACTTTAGCAGTATGAGCCCACTGACGTAGATTCTTTCATGCGCATTTTACTGCAAAATGCACTAACTAACTAACAAACGTATATTAATACGCATACAATCGAATATATTACGATCGCGTTTACCGGGATT